TATATATATATATATATATATATATTCCAGTTGCCCTGATTTTCCGACTTCCAATTTTTGGGAGCTTTACAGTAGAAATGTATTACTCTAAAGTTCAGGCTTACATGAACAAACTCAACACTCCGTTAAACTCCCATAACAATAGGCTGCAGTTAGTGCCGTTGTCGGTCTGGCTAACTAAAAGATGTTTTGATGACATGCAAGAAGTGAATTCATGTGAAACCGATTGGTTTTAATTTTTATGCTGAACTGCATGTTTTTGAAAGATGAAATCAGAGACGCCCTCCTCAGACTATTTCCCTTTTGACCCTGATGGCTTCCTTCACTCACCTGATAGCTTTGAGTTAAAAAAGAGCTTCAGATGAAACAAAAAACAACTTCAAGCACAATAATTAAGTTCAATTCTTTAGTTTCCTTAACCTGTTTGGAATGTACTATTGTCTAGATGACAGAATCTACACTATATCCACATTCTCATTCAGTTTGACTTTCTGCTGTCCAGAAACCACCCCAATCACCATAATTATGTAGAAGTTTATGCAAATATTTATTATTTGGTCATTCTTTGAACAGGAGTTCTCCACAGGCTTAAACAGTCGCGTAGTCTTAGGCTTAATCATACTTTTTTTTTTGTATTCCCACCTGCCGATCTGCTTTAGGTGAACCAGAGTAAATTTTCCCTTTGGTCCAAACAACTGGACAGAGATGCACCTTTTCAAATTGTCTTCTAGTCTAAATTCAAATCGACCTCGTTCCATCCCGACTAAAGAAAGCATACTTCTCTTTGGATATAACTAGTATCAAAACCACACCTGATCTGGCATTTGTTGATCAGCAACACTATTACCAGCATGCTGCTGCTCTCCTTTGGTTTGCAGGCAGCCTTTTCCAATGTGGCTCCAAAATAAAATGTCTAAAAATATAAATGAATGAGCTACTCTCTACATTCACAGTGATTTTGCAGCTGTGATAACAGCACGGATATGCAAAACAGATGCTGCAGGAAGGCATTTCCAGTTCTATGCAATGTCGTGCCCTAGTCATTTCTGTCCATTAGGAGCAGCAATCATCACAAGAGTGGCTTTGTTGTTAGATTATATTTCATTTACAAAAAGTACAACTTAAAAGCGAACAAACAAGTGGATCAAAGGACTTTGTGTGAGTGCACACTTTATTTTTCCCAAGTTTTCAGTACTACTTTGTCTTAAATGTAACTTTTTTTTATTATAATAGCTCATTTTAAAATAACAATATTACTCTCATAAGGTCTTAAATTTAAACCCATGAAAGCTTACAGAAGCTTTGTTCCTTTCTTGTTGTCTTACAATAACAATGACACCATGGCTGTGTCCGAACGCCCGCTCTAATCCCTCAGTCACTATAGTGACTGTATAGCAGACTTTATGGTGAAATCAGTTAACAGACCGTCGGGACAGACGATCACTACTTTTCGCTCCTGCTCCCCGTACGGTGCCTCCGCCATCTTCTTTCTATCTCGTCCCCAAAATCAATCCCAGGGTGCTTTTCGAGGAGAGCTATTCCAAAGCGTTCTGGTATTTATCTGCTCATCTAGTGACCATGGATGCACTGTACTTTTCAAGGTGCATTGTGGGAAATTTTGATTCCACTATTTTTTCATCCACTCTTCAGACACTCATAAATGGAGTAACCCCTATATATTGCTTTATGTAGGGGTTAGGACAGTCGTTCAGAGAGCCATTGATTATTTTAAGGAACTTGAGAAATGTGGCCTTGCACCACAATAAATCTCCCCTGTCAAATAGGTACTGAAAACAACATGCAAAACAGTTTTATTCAGTGACAACAGAAGTGGTATAAAAACCAAGCAATTCAATAATTTTGAGGTAATCAGGCAGTTATCCTGAGCAGAAACTTTCAGGTCCCGTTCTCAGTGTTTTTTTTTTCATACAGGATGATCATTGGTGTCGTGCTGCTTCCTATCTCCACTTCCTACCAAATAAATTTGGCTGCTGTGGTGTTTACCACCCAATGCATTTGAGAAATTGATTAAAAGGTATATGTGATAGTTTTTGGATAAACTGTTTTATTTTTCCTGAAATTGAATTGGCTAATCTTTAGCTCCAGCCTTCAGAAACAACTACTCTACATTTGTGCTAAATTAAGACACCAAGAGAGTTATCCGCTACAGGTAACATATCAATATAATTCTGAATATTACCTTTAATTGAGTTTCCTTTAGTAAAGTGTGGTTACAGACAACTCTAAGTGAATGAATGAGATGGGTAAACCAGAGGGATACTTGCTGTTTTCAACAATCAGAACAGAATATTTTTCTGAGTTTGTTGTTCCTTTTGCACTGCTTTTTTTCATGGAGTCGAGTCTGGCAAACTATCTTCCAAAATAACATTACAGTAATGTCATTAGCCTCAACATTTCCTACATGGTACAATATTTTGGGGGAGGGTAGTGACAGGGAATAATGCAGCATGGCTTGAGATCAAAATAAAAATGGCTAAGTGTGTAAGTCAAGTCTTACATCTGTGTAAACATTTCTGACTTATAAAAAAGAAAATACAGTGTAAACACTACCTGTAAGCATTCTTTGGCGTGAATTCAGTTCAAGTGCTGCCAATATTTTCAAGCTCATTTGTTGCTTTTTAAAATATGGGAGACTTAAGTTTTCTTTGGCCTCCTCATAAATTGGAGACTGTAAGAAATATGTGAACCATAATGTTAATTGCGTACATATTGAAATGCTGTCTCTTTTTGCACCTTTCAGAGTAGTTCATGAGAATCTGAGGAGTCACAGGGCTCTTAGCTGTTAAGCTTTTATGCTCATATCATCAGTGAGTTTTAAAGCTTTTGTGACAAAGTTCACAACAGGTTACTTCACAGTTTTGTAACCTTTTTCTTTTTATATTTTAATTATGCAGTAATTTTTGTACTGTACATTGCTGTAGTTTGAATGCATAATGCACTTTTTATGTTGGTGAGAAAATGATGTTCTGTATGTGTTATGGAAATAAAATCCTCTTTTACATAATTTACTTGGAGTACTCTGAGTTCCCTTCTTTAAATTCTGCAAATAAATCATCTGTTCATCTAAACTTATAATGTATAGAAAACTTTTTTGGCGTGCTTAGTAAAAAAGATGACATTTAATGTTGTCCTGCATTGTTTATACTTTTATTTCTTTTAGAAATACAATAGTCAAGGGAAACACTGTTTTATATGGCCAATATGGCTTAAAAATTGAATCTCTCCAAGGGGTTTTCCCTTAAATCCAATTAACCATTTGTTTATCTTCTTACTTAAATTTCATAATGAAAGTTCAAATGGTAAACACTGCTTTCGAAAACTAGCTTTTATTTCAATCATCCCCTCTGCCAGGTATCTTAAATTAAAGGTAACACATTTTATTACTGGAAAAAAAGAATAACACTTCACAACAACAACAAAAAGAAATACAACACTAAATGTTTGCAGAAGGTGGTATCACATTGAGACAGTTTATCAGTACACATCTAAGAACAAGTAGTGATAAACTGGTGTCACCCTGAGCTATGGAAGCCCAGTGGGTCAAATTGTGGAAAAAATCTTGATTTTCCAAAAATTAAATCTATTAGGGTCTTTGGGGTTTTTTTCTGAAGTGAGCTTCTTGTCAGAGAGAAGAACTTTGCTGGTGGCTGAGCCGACCTGTGTTGCTGCACACCTGAGAACATTTCTCAATCAAGATGACTAGCGCATGTATAAGAAGGCGAGGGGTAATTTCTCTCCTCTGTTGCAAGTACCAACGTTCTTCGATCTCACTCATGGACCTCTGGGATACAGTCTGCAAAGCCCACTGAATCAAACCCCTACAGATCCATGCTACCTCTCCTTCATCTCTCAAACAAGCAAAGCAGTCATCATTTGTCATCAACCAACTCCTTCCTGATTAGTCTGCTTTCTCCCCTCAGAACAACCAGAAAGCTCAAGTGATCTCCTGCATTTCTCCGCTTTGAGATTCATGTTGCTTTTTGTAAATAAACACTTAAAACTCACTGGTTTTCCATTTGATGCTGCATGTGGGTTAAAAAAAACTACAAACCAACATGACAAAATCTTCATAAAGAAAAATACTCCATTCATTTCTGCTGTGATACAACAAGGAGAAGCCTAAAACAAACAGGACGGGGATCCCAGATGACCAAGGTTGGGGACCAATTAAGGTAAATTTTTTTGCCATATTGTTCTGTAACTTTAAGTTGTTATAAAATTCCATGCAGCTCTCTATATAACTGAGGATTTTATATCGAGTTACACACAGGCAGACTTTGTTTACAAATTTGTCTTCTAAATCATTTGCTTGCAATTAATTGTATTTTGTCTGTCTACAAATGCACATTAGAGTTTTCAGGTTTTTATTTAAAAGAAAACCATGTCTCCTTTCACTTTAAGTTTTTTTGTTGTTGGTGAGAAGTAAAAACCCAACAAAACCCTCTAAAGTATTTCATCATGATTAAAAAAAAAAAAAGTATGGAGTCCATATTGTGGTATGAATTACATCATGGTGCCCTTGTGTGTGTTTTGGCAGGGGAACCATTTTCTAACAGCCAGGTTACATAACATTTGACTTTCCATTACTTTCTTCATGACATCAGCGAATTACTTAAGTTAAATGCTACTGAGCATCCTGGGTCTATATGACTGGAAATGAGCAGTTCTCTGTGTAATGTTAAAAAGGTAGAGATGATGTTTACTGCTGTTTTTTTTTTTGTGAACACCCATATACATTTTTCCTAAGACAGTACTTGATAGATGTGTTAATATTAGACTGGTGTTGCAATGTGGAAAACAGACAAGGTGTGTGGATTATAGCGGAAAGGTGTCAGTTGTTCAAGTGTGCCAAGAAGTCTGCTTTGAATGAACAATCATCTTAACACTAACATTGTTTATTTGGTTAGTTTTACTATAAGTGGGGTTAAAAGTGACCACTTAAACAAGCACAGAAACACTGACCAGTAAAAACACCAAGCACTCTGTCTAGGAAAAAACAGAAGTCTGCAGCAGATGGGTGTGGTCTAGTCCCTCTTCTTCTGTCGGTGGATTCTTGGCTGCTGCTGTTGCTCTTTTGTTTTATTATCCGACAGTGTATCCTGTTTTGGTCATTACTATAGAGACAGCAAGAAACAATTGAAAGGCTCTGAGCTGTTTTTCAGATGATGTTCCAACCTACTGGACATACCCAGGCTGGTTACAACAGTAATGACTGCTAAGGCCCTAAAGGAGATAACGTTTTTATACTATACCACATCTGACAAGCAAACATACCTAGTAAAGGGTAAAACTGTGAAACATACGAAAAAAATGTAAGATGAGAAGCACATGTTCTAGACTCCACTGCATAAAGTAGAACAAAACATTGAGAAAAGGAAACAAAACTAACCTAAAACTAATTTCAAAAGATTTGTAAATCCTATGAGATTAAAGAAAAAGTATACCTAAAATAGTAAGAGAACCTTTGGCAGGTATAATACCCAAATCCAAACATAATACAACACAATACATTTTTGTGCTTTAGGTATTTTTCAGGTTGTACATCCCACTACATTACACTCTGTATATCCCTGGGCTTTCTGAGGGTTTTATCATGCTTTCTTTAAACTTTGGCACCTTTTGTAACCTGGTGTTCAACTATGGCAACAAACAGCCCTTGTTCAAATACCAGGAACTTTAAACATTGTGTTTTTCTTTTCCTCCAAAATGAATTATCAGCTAACTGAAATGAAAGGAAGTCCATACATGGTTTTAAACATTTTTCTTGCAACAGAAATTTAAAACATGTGACATCCACATCTTCCCCCTTTACCTGAATCCTAGCAATAAAATACAGCACATTCAATTCAAATTTACACATTGAGTATTTACATTTATGAGTAAAATACAGTAAAATATGGCTATCTGCTAAGGCCTTAGAGGTTTCTGAGCTAATAAACAGCACATTGAACACCAAGGAAATGGGTCAGGAATATAGTTACAGGGAAGTTCAGTAAGTCAGAGTATTAAACCAGCTTTAAATGCATCTAATGGGTCGCTTTTTAAATGATTATCTGAATCATCCTGTATACCATATTGGTGCGGTACTATGGTGAGGTTCATCTTTACCGGGGAAGCTCAGTAGGAATCAATTCAATATCATTTTGGCTCATTTGTTTATCGTCTTCTTTTATTTTTTATCAGTTCAATTTTTTTTTTTTCAAAATCGATTAAACTGATGCATATGTAAAAGCGCAAAGATACATATAGGAATACAAATCACAAGTTCACTTCACTGAGTACGTCTTTGTATAATCTGTATCCTAGTCTCCATGGAGATGAAGATTAAGTTAAATAATTTTCTGAAAGGTTTCTTCAGATGGTTGCAAGTTAAACTGCGAGTCCAAGATTTCCTGATTGTGTTAGTCAAATGTGCAGTGACATCACATGGATGTAATATAAGGCTCCCATTGCTTGTGCCATTTGAGGGAGGACTGATCATCACCAAACGACCAACAAAGAGCACTGTGTCAGTCCTGAGCGAGGTGGGAGAGACTTGGCCAAGGAATCCTTACTGGTAAGTGTCAGTTGCAGTGATCAATGTTATATTCACCTTATTACAGGAGCACTGAGTTTTCATTAACTTTGCTTAAACCACATTTTTGTTGGCGTGGTCTTTTCATAGCAGGTCGAGCAAAAAAAGCTATGTTGTCTACAAACGAAAAAACTTCAGTCTGTGAGAAATTTGCAGTTCTCTTGTGATGATCTCTGAATAAGTTAGAGCAGCAGAGCACATGGTGATCAAATGACCAGTTCAGGGAGTTTAAGATAAAATAATGAACCAGTTGTTGGAGGGAAAGAATTTGCTAAAGGGAAGGAGTTCCCACCAAGATGCAGAGGCTGGAAAATTATCTTTAAAAGTAAATTCCTCTACATACTGACATCAACGTCAACATGATTTTAAGGAAAATAATACAATGCTACCTTCCTTGTTCTACCGAAGCCCCCCTTTATTCTGTCTTTAGGGTGTTTTTGCTATGTAGCCTGCTAAGTCGGTCTGTGAGATGAGAAGACAACAGTCAGTCATATGTTTTCACACGGACAGGGCATAAGGACACGGCCAGGAAACAGACTCATGCTCCAGACTAATCATTGTTCATTGTGCTGCACCATTTGCTCTGCTTACTGCTGCAGATTTGTTAGTGCAAACCCATTTAGCAATTAGACAATGTCATGGAAAAGTTTTTTGTCTGCAAGAAGATCCTACTGAGCACGGTAACAATTATCACAGTTTTATGACCATGAATAAAATAAATATACCCAGATTTGTGAGTGGAATGTTTTGGCTGCACCCAAAGAGATATTTTATATGCCATTATGATGAATATTATGCTAGGAAAAAGCAATGAGGGGCATCGAGTCAGTTCTACAAGTCACATGTTAATAAAAACTAAAGATTCATGATTTGAAGACATGTGAACAGTTGTGGTTCTTGCCACCCTGAATGAGTCCCTGTTTCTTCAAACACCCCATATTATGTTAATTATAAAAGGCAGTTTGGATTTCATTAAAAAAAATACTGAGGAAGCAACTTATTGTGGGCAGAATGAAAAACTAAAAATCCAACCGCATTTCCAGAGTAAAGTTCGCAGTAGAATAAGGGAACGTCTTCTGCCAACATTCTATTGATCAGACATGCAAATAATGGATGAAAAACTAATTTAGGGAAATATCTGAAAAATTTTGCAAACCTACCACTGGGTCAAATGTGGACTGAAGCTGCCAAGATTCAGGTGAAAAGAATAATCCATTTTATGTATCCAACCTTGAATTACTTAACAACAAACAGAGTTAAACAAATAATTAATCTTTGTTTTGTACCCACGTAATGTTTGCAGACTCCTAGGGATGACTGGTGACAATCTATAGCTATCAATGGGCAAATGGTAAGGTACACCTTGTGCAATGCACGGACAGACTATGAGGAAAGCAGAACAGATATTATATGCATATATATAGTTTTAATTTTTCAAATAAAAAGACATAGTCTTGTATTGCTGTTTAGGATCTGCATATAAATAGCATTGAGACATTTTATTCAAAATAATGACCAGATTTGACAACAAACACACTGGAAGATGTAAAAAGAAAAACCTGTAATTAAATGAAACCCAGCAAATAAAGGTAAGAGAGATCCAAAACATGTAACGGGGAATAAGATAAGCAAAGATAATCAACAAGAATTAAATAATTGACCTAAAAAAGTCTAAATCAAAGCAGAAAATCCACTTAAAGCCAAAATCCCAAAGATCATAACAAATGGAGCAAACATCTGCCAAATCTGCCATCTGCCAATATCAGATCAAGCTCTGAATTCAAACCATCAAAAATCTGTCCTAAGAACTGGAAGCCAACAGTTTGGTTAAACGAAAGGCTCTGCAGGTTTCAGAGTGTGGTTTACCTTGTGGTTTTCTGCTTGTAAAAATTGAGCAGCTATTACTAATGAGAATAGTCTTAGAATATAGAGAAGGGCTTTGATTCACAGTGCTTCCCAACACTCAGCGTTCCAGAATATGACTTAGTGTCTCTGTTTTGTGGTGGTAACTTTAATGTCCTTCTCTGCAGACTGACATGGGACAGAACCAGGACAAAACTGAAAGTGGAGAGCAGGTTCCTCATGAGCAGCTGGAAGAAACTCAATTATGCCATAACTCTTTAGGTTTAGATACTCATTCAGGTGAGATCACAGAGGGAGAACGTTTATGCGATGAAGAAGAAGAAGAAGATGAGAAAAAGTCGGATGACCCACAATGTTATCATCTAAATGAAAGCCCCAGCTATGAACCAACAATAACTTCCATTGAGAGGGATAATCGGCTGTGTGAGAGCCAGTACCCTGCAAGGGAGGTGAGACAGGGAGGGGCTGCAGAAAAGGAGGGCGGAGGTGAGCATGGAGGAGGAGGCTGGACTGTTCCTCTGTCTCCACATGAAACTGAGAAGAACCCAGAGAGTACCTTAGGAACAGACCGGCTTAAAACAACCCAAAGAACATCCAAGGTTAACAAAAACAAAAGGAAAACTGTGGAACAGCTTCAAGCATCTACAAAAACCAGGATGGAGCATCAGGCAGAGGAAATTTCCCCACCCAAAGATGTAAACTCAGAGGAGGCAAGCACTTTGGAAAACTCTAAGCAAGACTCTGTGATGCTGAAGACCTGCACCCATGGAACTCATACAGGATGTGAGTCGCTGTTTGTTCAGGACCTGAATGAAATTATAGTGGATGAAACTGGAAATGAGGATACTAAGCTCTGCATGGGAACAGGCAGCTTCTTAACTGAGAGGAAGGAACCGCCTCCAGCTCAGCCCCCACATCCTTTGGAAAACAGTCTCCAGAAAGAGTCTTTATTACACATGTGTGATACCATTGAAGAGGTGACCCCAAAAGAGAAAACAGAGATCAATGAAAAGGAAGTATCACTTAAATATGCTTTAGAGTACACCTCACCAGGGCCAAAGTGGACTGATGTATGTGAGCAGGAGACGCAGCCTTCACACCCTGATATGGCAGAAACAAACAAAGCATCAGAATCAGGACCAAACGGGGTGTTGGATACTGAGCCAAGCTCTATTCTAGAGAAGCTGCTGAAGAGAAACAAAACAGAGGCAACCCCATCCCTTGCTAAAATAAAAGAGGTTTATACCAACACAACAGAAGGTCGGGATGCTGATAAGGTTCTTAATAACACATCAGCAGCAGCACTGAGCGACCAGAACTACCAGCCTGAGCTAGACACAAAAAGCTCTTTAAGCAAACAACCTGAAACAAATTCTGCATCAAAGGACTCCCACATTGAGATGAGAAACGAGATTGCCCAAAATACCTCATATTTGGTTTGTTTGCAGCCTGAAGCCAGCGGTAATTCTACGTGTGAGAGCTCACAAACTGAATCACATTACTTAAGGGTTAAGAAAAATAATTCAACAGAGGAATCAGTGAAAGCAGATGGAGAGATAGGGTCAAACATAGGCCCCTCTGAGGAAATGTCTGCATTTGGCTCACAACAATCAGCTGTTTCACACAAGACAGCATCATGTGAGCTGCCTGATGCGATAGTGGAGGAATCTAAACCTTCCTTGACTGAGTCCACACCAAAAGATAGTAGTGGGCAAATTACCAACTCCTCGCAGAGTCTTAATGAGGAGACCGACTCTAATATTGTTGGACGTCCTTCATCAGTAAAGAGTGAAATCAATAACAAAACATCTCGCTCTGGTGGAGCAGATTCTCCATCAGTTGGTAGGGCGGAGGAAAAAGAGGACCCCAAAGAAACTGTCTCACCACCTGTTCACCCTGATGCACCTTTAGGAGCAGTTGGGTTGGTTTTCATACAAGAAAGCAGCAGGGTCTCATCCTGCACACAGCCGGATCCTCAGAGTCCTAATTCTGAAAAAGCTCATGCGGAGGGACCTAATGTGGAACCTTATAGTGAGAAAGACAGTGTCTCCATGAGAGACAAGTCTCAGAGCTCTCCGAAACCCAGGCCTGTTTCTGACCTTATCAAGGAGACAATTCAGATGCATGAAAAGCTGCAGCACCATGACCGACCCAAACCAGCAGAGATTAAGCCTGCTGAGGAACAGGCGCAATCTGTGAAGGTGGCCCAGATGAAGGCAGCTTTTGATTCGGCTCAGAGATCCCCAGACAAGGCAGTCGAGAGGAAACCATCAGTGAGGAGAGGTAAGGGCTTCCATGCAAGAACAGCAGCATCCCTGTCTTTCTTTAGGACACTCTTAAAGACCAACCTCTTCAAAGAGCATCTCTTCCTAACTCTTACCCATACCTCTGTACCCCTCTACTACTCTTTCTGCACTTCCCCCTCTCTCTTTGCTGTCCCCACTGACTCTGAATAGGGATTTTTCCTCCAGACAACATACTGTCATATTGATGATAACTGTAAAATTGTGTCTACTTTTTAAGTTGCTTTGGACCAATGCATAACCATAAACAATGTGGTAAAAACCTTATGCTGCTGTGAAAAAGTATTTGCCTGATTACATCTCTCTCGTCTAGTTATGATTTCCCAATTAAACCTGTTAAGCCTAAAACATTAAATATTTGTCAGAAAAATCTTATCTTTTGAAACTAGTCTTCTGAGCAGCGAAAAAATAATAATTTCAATTCGACAATTTAGTTGTTTAATCTGTGATACCTAAGCATTTTTTGTTTATTACGTGTCTGTGTGTATAAATCAGGCTTTTCAAGAGAAAATAAAACAGTGATGATGCAGAGGTTTTAAAAAACACATACAAACTTTTCAAGTGTCTCAGCTGAATTTTAATTCAGACTCTATTAGATCACTCCAAAATATACATATTGAATAATTTTGTCATTCAGAGATTAGTTTGCTCTTGTGCTTTGAAAAAACTATTTCTTACCTGGAGTTAGAACATCCAGAACATTGAATAAAATATATACATCACCTTTCCCACCTAAGAAAAAGATATAGAAAACAGATGTTGGAACTGCTATAGGGAGACAACTTTACTCTGAATTTGCAGAATAGCGCCATCTTCTGGGGAACACTTGAACTGAATGGAAATGGCTTTCTAAAGAGGTTTAAAAAGCAGTTTTTAAATTTTGTTTAATGATTAAAACGGTAAATCTGTCTATACATTTTTAGTTGTGGTTATAATTTTACATATGTCATATTTAGAGACGAAAGTAAACTCAATAATTTAACTAGGTTTTTTACCAGGTTAATGAAATATAAGCATTCTTCAATTACTCTAGAAAAAAAAACTTTAAAAACACTTAACAAAGAAAACTAAAACTCCCTTATAGATTTTGTGATGTCACCAAAGAAAGTTCGCGGAAAGTTTTTCTTAGAGGATAAGATTTTTATCAAGATACATTTACAACAAAACAGTAGGTTAATAAGACAAAAAAATGACCATGACATGCTGTTCTATAAGATACTAAATGTATTAAAAGTGAGTTTCATTGGTTTTGCTAAACAGCTTTGCCTTGAACTGGAAGACAAGCTCATCCTGAAGTAACCAGCGATGTATCGGTCGAACCGAGTCAGCAGAATGTGCCAACTCAAATTTACTACCAGTTCATATCTTAATACGTTTGTTGATTTGTATCTAGGTTTTTTTAATATGACGACGAATCCTATTTGATCAAGTCAATACTATTTATAAAGCACTGAATACAGAAATATTGTACTGCATACAAAAATGTTGGCACAAAAACATTTGCACATAGTTATTTTAAGTATATATGCACACATGCTAATATGAGTGAAGACATAACTAGAACATAAATTAATATCTAGGTTAGTCATAGAAGCTTGTGTTGAAAAATAGGGAGGAGACGTCGAGGAGCCAAAAAGAAATCAGTTCTTCTTGACAAGCTAAGCAAAAATAATTTGGATCCCTGAAACGAGTCGGAATTCCCATAACGACAGAGGAAAAAAAGGGAAGCATGAACGTTGATCCTTTCATTAATGGCCTCACTGATTGGTTGATGGGACTGTCAGTCAAAATGAACAATTTTAAGGCTGAGTCCTTATAAGGACATGTATGGGCGTGGTCTGCGACAGAGAGGCGAAAGAGCAGAAAACTGCTTGTTGTGTCAGCGGCGGCTCCGGCTAGAGGGAGGAATAAACTGGGAATCGTGTTTGGCCGTGTTTTCTTATTTCCCTTTCAGGAATACTTTTATTTCCCCTTAAGAAGGTTAGTAACACACGTTTTGTGTTGGTGTTTTTGTGTGAATACTTGTGTTTCATATGAGAATTAGTGCTTTCCTTTCCTCCATCTAACCACAGCACTCCAAACAGGAAAGTGCACGCGCTAGCTAAAATGAATCGGGATAGAAATGATTTTTAGCTAGCGGCGGATTATAAAACGGCTATAAACCAATATCTCTAACAAATTTCTCACCAGTGCGCAAATACATTATGGGTTTAATAGCAATTTCACGGTTACTTTGATAAGAAATGAAGGTTAAATGTGCTGTTGTACGTTATTGAGCGGGGTGGGGTAGGCTAACCGTGGTGCGGCAGGAAAACTTATCTCCGGAACGATACATCCACACACAGACCGAGGTGCAGTCAGTCCAACCGCGCCCTGGCCCCTGGCTTTCTCTCCTAAACTGAACAATAGCTCCTACATACAAAATATGCAGTGGTTAACCCTCTTGTTAGCTACAGACCGTTAGGATGAAATCAGATATCCTCAGTAAAATGTCTCAAACGAGACCCGTTAACGCAGCTTTTTAATTTAATAAAATATCTGAATTGGTCACTGACTTCACGGCTGTCACCAGCTGCAGATAACCACTCTGTCCTCTTCGCTTCTTTTAGTTATAACACGTGGAGAAATAAAACGTGTGAAATCACTTTGGGGTCGGCCTGTCTTAATCCTGCTCACTCAGGACAGACAAGGGAAATGTCTTGTTTGCGTCTCAGTGAATTCCTGATTATTCAGGCGGAAGGGAGTTCAGCTAACCATAGTTATATATGGGAAAAGCCCAATCGTTGTAACCAAAGAGCAGAAAAAACAACAAGTTGATTTCGATGATACCAGATGGCCAAAACAAGCTAAGTTTATGGTGTAACATTTGCATTTAAGTTAGTTTTGCATACCGTGGCACTTAAAATCTGACGTAGTCATTCAAAGACTGGTGATGAGCTTCTAAAGTCAGGAAAATGTAATAGGTGGTAGAATATAAAACTATTTCAGTTCATATTTCAATGGATCAAACTGTTAAAAATGAGTAACCGGAACTGTTCTTTCTACTTGGAGGTAATGGGAGCCTGCTGTTTTTAGATTATTGATCTATGTTAGTCTCTAGTTCAGTTTCACATAATCTCAAAATGTACCCTTAAATTCAGCACCTGTAATGACCTATTACTCTCTGGGTTTAAAGAGAAACCAGTTTGACTTTTGTTTTGCATAAGGGTATGGTTTGGAATCCTCTCTGTCTTTGAAGTTTTTAGAAATTGATAATGAAAGAAAAGCGTAGGCTATCATGGTGTTCTCCTTAACTCCTCCAGCTATAGTGTTTCACATGTTTCTTTTATCCTGACTGTAGGATAGTTTGATTGGTTTCATTACCATAGAAAATGCTACTAGATCCCACCAGTTTTAGTCTAACCCCTTTCTTTTAAAGTGGCTGTGAGTTTCAAATGAGGCAAAGGCTGATTGGGAGAGCAGCCGGGGGTCAACAGTAGTACAGCTGTGTTTGGATTTGCAGGCTAATTCAGAGACTGTAGGCTCCGCTGATTGTATTGCAGCACAAGGCCTTTAGAAGTGAGCAGCCTGTCTTCCTATGGCTTGGTGGACTGAAGAAGTGGGTCAGGAAGTGAAGGAAAACCAAGCTGAAGGTGTAATGGATGATTCAGTCCCATGGACTGCACCATGACACTGATGTAAGGCCTGTAGAGGACTTTATATCGCATGTAAAAATTGTTAATATGATACTGATGCATCATATATGTGATAAATGTTTTTATGTTTAAAACAACAAAACATCCTTCTGCTAGAACATGTTCTCTGGGGGGAAAACTGCTTTGTCTCTTTGGCACAGATAACATTCTTAAGAGGTGTATGGCATACCTTAGTAGGCATCCAGTCATGTTTAAGATTTTATCTCTGTTACATGTTTGTAAAGGACCTTTAACGGAGGAAAACCAGTCAAGATGAAATGTTGTTTTTTTTAATAGAAATGATGTAAAGTAAGTTGAAAGGAAAGTAACACAATGCTTGGTGCACACATTGTTTTCTGTTAAAACAAGGAATGTGGATGTAGATTTTATGTTGTTTTATTTTTGTTGTTGTTACACAGTTAATTAAAAGTTTGTGTTAAATTAGTTGCTTAACTAAAAAGAAGAGCTACAAGCTATATCCATTCACAGTATCGTCTCCAATAAATATATAGCAAAGGACTGCTTAAATTTAATATTTGGAATATTGTAATATTTATATTGCTGTGCTTGATGTTAATACCTCAGATCTAAATCTTAGTGGCAAACACCTTAAAGAGGTTTGAAGATTTATATTAGGCGAAAGGGATTGTGGTTGATATCTTTGTTGCATTCAATCCTACTTTTCCTGTCCTGTGTTTTTTTTTTTTTTTTTTTTTTTTTTTTCAAATAATTTTCAGCCCTGTTAAAACATGGCTACATTCAAAGAAACAAATGTTGTTGTTGTTTTTTTTTAGATTTCTGGCACTATTGGCCTTTATTTGACACTAGGCGTGTAAAGAGAAGCTAGTCATACATCGGTGGTCTGCAATTTCAAATCCAAAACGGTTCAACAAGCTACCATTTATTTTTTTTCTTTTATTGCACTGTTGAATATGTCCTTAGACCGGCTTTAGTTTTATTTAGTATTTAGCAACCTTTGCTTTATAATACTCGGTTTGGTTTGCATTCAATGCTGTCCTCACTGTTGTGTTATTTTCAGGGCATCCTTGTAAATAAGATGCATTTCCTGGTAAATAGAATAGAGGGAAAAGTATACTGTAGGTATGTACATGTTTTGTCAGTATCTGTCACATTATAGTTCTGCTTTGTGAAAAGGTGAATCATCTGTTATCCCCAAACCTTTAGTAGTATATCTGTTCAGGCAGGTGCAGAGTCATTTTTGCATTGTTCTTTCCAACCAAAACCACTGACATGTGTTGATACTGGGTGCTGCTTTGTGGATGATTTATTGGGCGAGGGAAGGGGGGGTTGGAGGGGTGGCTGATCAGGAAGAGCAGGCAACTGCTTTGTACTCGATGCTTGTTTTTAGGATCTGAGCTGTAAGCAGGCAGATGTTCTGACGTGGCTTTTTATATAGTTGCAACTTGACACATCTGCACAAGCTATAGAGGGCAAAGAAACAAGAACTTAGCTCGTTTTGATTAGTTTTGTATTACTATAAAGTGATCCCTGCTAAATAGGGACTTAAGCAGGATAAGAAGTTTAAGATTTAGTTTTAAGTCTCACAGTGCAGAAAGTTGAATTTAGGAAGGGGAGGGTGGTTAAGCGGGAGGGCAGCTTGAAGCGTGGCCAGTTTCACACTTAACCCCCAGACCTCATCTGGTGTATGTTTTTATGTCTGAACATGAGGGCTCTGTTTTTCCTGTGCAGGAACAAGAAGTTAAAAATACCAAGGGCTAAAATTTTGTGTTTGTAAATATTAGTTGAAGTATGAGGAACTGGCAACCTGTCCGATGTTTAACCTGCCTGTAACCCAGCAACAGATGGGGCTAGAGTCTTTCCCATCCCCCTGTAGGCTTTTTTGATGAAAGATTATAATATAGGATGACAGTGAAAAACTAACACAGAAGGGACCCAAATTCCAGATTTGTGCCGTAGTACAATGACATCGGCAGGATGTAACTCACAGGCTTGGGCAGCAGTGACCCACAAATCTCCTTCAGGTTATTAGGTCAGTTCAAACTATGTACATCCTCATTTTTATTGAGCCTCACTCGGCAAGTTAAGGTCTGCCCATATTTTTAGTAACTTTTCTTAAACAGGTGGCATTTAGGAACTTTCTACATTTCAATGTGCCAAAGGTTGTCTACAAATGCATTTCTAACCTGTTTGTCAATGACGATATTAAAGCACTTAGAATTGTCAGCAGTAAAGCCTTAAGTTGATGTCTGACTAAAGCAGACTTAAAATTACTATAGCTATGATTTTTAGAAGTGAATATTTGGGTAGGGTGTTTGTTGTCCAGAAGCCCTGCTGTGCTAGCCTGACGTAGTCCGACTCAATTCTAGTCAGAATATGAGTCTGATACTGCTCCATAGAGCTGTGATTATGCGGCGTGTTTCGAACGAACCAGGAAAAAAAATGCCTCTGCACTCAATTGGATAGACCTACAACCAATAAGAGCAATGGAGTGCGTGACATATGTTAAGCGAGGCATAGTTGTTGTCCACAAAAATCAAAGCGTGCAGTTGCACGCCTATAATAAGAAGATGAGCCATGATCGCGTTTCTCTGTTCCTCTTTTAAAATTAATTTGCTGTCGATATCTTCTAGAACAGACCTAATAGCAGAATCTGCTCACCTAAACTCTCCAGCGGCAGCCATTGTTGTTGTCACCCAAGCGCGCATTGGTCACGTGGTTGATTACGTTACTGTTGGTCATCTGTCCATCATCGTATAAAGCCCGCCCTGACAATTTGATTGGATCNTCATCTGTCCATCATCGTATAAAGCCCGCCCTGACAATTTGATTGGATCGCCTGACAGTGGGCGATAATACTTGCGCTACTATGGAGCAGAGCCAGACCGAACTTCCCCGACCTCAAACTTTGTGGGCGGGACTAAGTTCGGAATGGCACCCAGGCTACTGCTGTGCAGCCATCATTTTAAATGAAAAATAAAAAAAGAGACTAAATGACAAAAGTTTTTCTTTTCTAAAAATTCGGAACTGTCTAGCTAAGCAGTTACGTAAGCACTTTGTGGTGTTGGTATCATAGCAATGATATAAAACTCAAAATGTACATGATGTAGAATATTCTTACCAGTTCTACTTTTTATAGAGTAACACAAGCATAACGAGTTGGTTTTGGCTAAGTAGTCAGATTATCTGCATGGGTTGCTAGCCTGCTGCTCATTGCTTAACAGACATACCATTCATTGCTTTCCAGCTGTAATTTTGAACAGGAATAGCTAAGGGCTGCTTTCATAGAAACCCTCTGAACACTTAACCATGCTTGAATCTGGTTTA